CACAAAATGTCATGAAGTATGATTATATGGGTAATTTCAAAGTCAACATAAGCGAGACCCAAGTCAGAACACCAAGGGAAATGCATTTTGTCATCAGTGTACTTAAACAGGAACCATCCATCAACCCAACACTGACCATGGCAATTAATAAGTGACAGTTTATGGAGACTTAACTAGGCTTTAGAATGTTTTACTGAAATATTAATGATCTAAGTGCATGAAACTGAAAATGGGATATGGATGTGATAAAGGAGAAAAAGAGGATATGGCAATACCTTAACAGTGACCTGTGGCAGGAAGTGCGGGTTCCTGAGCCTAGTGGTGATGTACAAGCGGAAGTTGTTGTGGTACTCTGTCACCACCTCCCCCACCCGCACATGATCCACACCCTGCTGTTTAAACGTCTGCCTCAGTAGCACTGGATCTTCAGGTAGTACCAAAATATAATGAATTTAATTTGCATATCTCTCCCATGAGAATCTATTCAACAACCTTTTTCTGTTTGCCATAAAATGCTATGTATTGTTTAATGGCAGTAGTTGTAACATATTAATGGAATTAACAACACTATGGGGAGAGTAGTAGTTGTAGTACTACAGTACACAAGTGATAATGATAACATTATTAACAAACCATAATGATAAAATATCAGAAGTAACATTATTCCCTCAGTACCTTTTGTTCATCATCCTTTTAAGGGTACACATTAGATGCTTCATAAACAAAATTGTCTCACAATAACACTTCCAGACAGCAGGAACACAAAAGGTGGTTTTGAATACATCCTACCAAGTATGGGGTCCAGTTCTTCACCTACGCCTTCAATAAGCAGCGGAAGGCCCTTCTGAAGTGCTTCCTCCAGCACTCTGGTGAAAGATTGGTCAGTCTGCCTTACCACCCGAAGACCATTTTCCTTCTCCATGTTCACCACCCACTTGTTGGCCTGACCTGGAGGTGACAGTGGATGCAACTATACACACAATCATCAAAGAATAATTCCCCTAAATTATGAAAAATTGGATTTTCAGAAAAAATCCTCTGAACTCTGGCAATCTTTAGTTACAAGACTGCCAAGTATGAATGTTGTGCAATACTACCTTCTACTACCCTGAAAGAAATCATAAAAGTCCCCTTACCCCCCTTCCCCCATAGTTGGTTTTTGGTGATTATCATTTTCTGTTGTCATCAAAATAGTGTTATAAGCGAATGACAGCATGTTTTATTGTTATACTGTATATTGTATTTTTGAATGAAACTAAGAATAGATTCTTCTGACACCTAACAACCAGACTGGTGTGTTCTGAGGGGAGGAATCTATTTAGTGTTGGTCCAGGGTGGAAGATTGTGTGTGCATGTAACAGAGTAAAAAAAAATAAGAAAATTATGTACTATGTCTACCCAAAAAAATTGGATAACTGAATGGTTAGAGCCCCCATATATTCTGAGTTATTAAGGGTTTACTGTAATGAAATATCACCATTCCATGCTCTATATCACTAAAAACACTACTAATTTCCATTTTTTTTGGGGGGCTGTACTGTATTGTATTTCAATTAAAAAGAAAATATTATTAAAAAATATTAATAGAAGCAAATTCTCAACTGAATTTGTAAAAATTTTAATGGAAACACTGTTGAATTAGTCTAAGTAATGTATTTAAATTTAATAAATATCGATCCATAAATGAAAAAAAAAAAAAAAAAAAGGATTCTATCAGGACTATGGCCTTAAAATTTGGGCATTCTTTTTCACTAACTTCAAAGATTTTATTATACTGTATTTATCTACTTTACTATTGACAAAACAACCCTGGACAGTAAGATGGTATTACAAGCAATTTAAAAATCTACAGAGGAAACTGGAGGTAGTGTACCTGTAGGTTGTGGGTACTGTGGAAGACCTGGTTGTGTGGTAGACTTGGTTCTGTTGTTAGGGTGAGTGTGTTGTGAGGGTGAGTGTGTTGTTAGGGTGAGTGTGTTGTTAAGGTAAAGGGGGTTGTTAGAGCAAGTGTATTGTTAGAGTGAGTGTGTTGTTAGAGTAAGTATGTTGTTAGAGCAAGCGTACAGTATCGTAAAAGTGAGTACGGTGATAAACTTACCCTGGAGGTCTATCATGAGTGGCCAGCGGCGTGAGTGAGCGACAATGATGGCATTGTCAACTGAGAAAGTGTCAAAAGGCAGCCCTGCCAGCTGCCAGGTGCAGCTTTGTACAGGGTCACCCAGAGTGTCATACAGGACAAATTTCACACTACATGAGATTCCTAGTTCCTGACACTTTTGATGCCAGTTCTGAAGGCAAGTCTGCAGAAATAATTAGGTTAAGCAACTCAAAATGATATTCTCATAAGCCGGAACAATTGGTGCAGAGCACTTCTGGGGGATGAGAGATTTCCGGGTAACCAGACGACTTTCTTAAACCCGGAAAAATTCCTTATCTCCGGAATCGTTTCCGATTACTGGGAAAAGTTTCCGCGTTTTTAAACTAGACATCTTGCACAGACGGACACTAGCCCACTTCTGGGTGATGGGGATGTTTTCAGGAGTCTAAATTACCGGAGTCCGAAAATGCAGTTCTAATGAAGCTAGAAGCTCCATTTCTTTACTATAATAATCCAGAATAGTTTATCTAAAAGTTTGGTTAAATAAACATATTTAAAAATTACAAATCTATAGGATATGGGTGTGAATGCAGCCATGTGTCACAGCAAAGACTTATTTTTCACTCCCATGTCAGGTGGAGGTGGGGGATTAGTAGTCTCATATTACTGACCTTCTGATGGAATGTCAGGTCACCTGTTCTAAGATCAGCTGTTGAGGAGCTTATCGCTTGGCACACTGGTGCATGCTACACTCCTTTCCACTCCATATCTCTAATCATCCACACATTTCTGCTTTCTCAGACCACATTTTAAAATGCTATGTAATGAACTGTAATGTTGAAGGGATACAACTTTGCTCATTGAGTCAAGTCAGGTCCCCTTTCAAAATACTTTAGCTTTCGTTTTTATTCAAGACATTTTTAGAAATGTTCTCGATTTTCAACCTCAGAAAATTTGTTCCCAAAGCCCATTTTTTTTTTTAAATTCCGGCTTTGGGAATGATATTCCGAGCAAATTTCAATCCAGGATACTGGAAAGTTCCGTGTTTGAGGGATTCCTGCTAACGGAGACATTACTGTACATGTACTGTTTTTTAAATAAACGTTTGCTTTGGGCTTAATATCTTCTATTATTATTAACTATACTAAAGGAAGAAACTGGACAAAGAAATAAACAAAATTAAACTCCCCAAGATTCATGTGTCCTTTCTCAAAGGGATTTGGCAAATGTTGCAAAGATGCAAAAGACAAAGCTAAACAGTTTAGTAAATAAACTAAAGATCAGCCCAATAATCTCTCCCAATAACTCAAATCAAACATTCTTACCAATCTAAACCTAACTTACTTCAAAAACATTGTCTAAATTAATTTGGCTTATGTTAGATGCTTTGGTAAAAAAGATCCTACATAACATTTTACCACTGGAAGGCATACTGTACCTCCCTATAGTCGACAGTAAAAGCTCCAAGGTAGGCCACGATGGCAGCAGCGATCAGCACGTCACCCACAATGTTCTCCAAACTCTCGCTCAACTGCTGAGCTTCGTTGCTCCACCTGAGGGCAGTTTGGGTATTACCCGGATTAATGAAGTTTTAAAATGTTGGAAGAGCCTGTGGTGGTGGCCCTGGTTGAGGAATGAAGTGAAAGGATCAAACTTAATTGTTTCCACCAGAGATGAGGACAAAAATCTCAATTATTGGAATAAGATGGTAGAGAAGGATGAATAAGAGGAATGAAACAGGAGATTCTTTTAAAAATTACCTCAGTCTCAGAGGTGATAATAGGGAAGTGCTTTACAGGTCACCCCTTACCTGTCTCGCTCTCCACCCAGACCACCTATGAGCCTCTCGGAGCGGTCCCTCTTCTGTTCACACCTAACAATCGAATCCTCCAGGTCCTTCTTCTCCTTCTGCTTCTTGGTGAACTCATCATTAAGAGCTTGAAGTTTATCTGTCACCTGAAATGGGATAAGAAAGAATTACTTGGCGATAATTCTTATTTCTGTGTTATTCAAGCATACAGTACAGTAGTACCCCGATTTACGTGGTCAATTGAACCCACAGGGTACCACGTTAAGTGAAATCCGCGTAAATGGAACAACAGAACATATGGGATTAATTCCAATAGAGACTGGCCTGACCCCCAAACTCCACTTTTTCCGACACAATACCTACGTTGTAGTAAAAATGACATCTAAATTTTATGATGGTATGCTCACACAATTAATATTTAAGAGAAATACAGTCGCCAGGTTAATGTCCATTCAAATAATAGACTCAAATCCCACCCCCCCCCCTCTTCCCAGCTCACTGGCCCCTACCTCTCTGAGAAATGATTGGGTGAAACACTAGATTTTAACGTTTAGTAATAAATAATACCTCAGACTAAAGTTAGGATAATATAATTGACATTTTTGGATTCCTTGCAGGTCAGGGAATATTTTGAATGTAAACTTCATATATTTTGCACAAAAGATAAAATACTTGCTTTGTGTAAACCAAATTATTACATTAGATCTAAAATTTGTATGTCTAATGCAAAATCCATGATGTTTATATTCAAAATGATCATCATATTGTAAGAATTCCAGCAATGGAAATTATATTCTGGTCCAGTAATTTGTATGAATTTTATGAGCTAAAACAAATATCTTCAGTTAATAAAAAAAAAATATTCTTCACGACTCTATCTGTCAATCAAAGTACCCCAACTTGCCTCCCCCTCCTCTTCCAACCGCGCCAGATGGTCAGTCGGTCCCACCCCCCACCTTCCCTCCCTACCAGAAAAATGTTGGGTGAAAAAACTAATTTTAACTTTTAGTAACAAATAATACCTCAGACTAAAGTTAGGATAATATAATTGACATTGCTGGAATCCTTGTAAGACCAGGAACATTTTGAATATAAATGTCATATATTTTGCACAAAAGATAACATATTCACTCAGAGTAAACATTACATCTAAAATTTGTATGTCTAATGCAAAATCTATGATGTTTATATTCAAAATAATCATCAAATTGTAAGAATTCCAGCAATGTAAATTATATTCTGGCCGGGTAATTTGTATGAATTTTATGAGCTAAATAAAAAAAAAATTATACTTCACGCGTATGTGGGTAGATGAACAGCGTAAAGTGAAAGTTCGGTTCTGGCGAGGCACCGCGTATATTAGAATCACGTAAAGTGAAACCGCGTAAAGCGGGGTACAACTGTACTGTAGTTCAGCTACGTATACAGGGGGTCCCCCGGTTACGAACAGGTTCCATTCCCGAGGACATTCTTAAGTCAGATGTGTACGTAAAACGGAACACATGCTATGTGCATACCGTACTTACAGAACAATGTACTTACAGAACAATGTTTAAAATCCCACTATATCATAGCCTAAGTTCTTATATACATCTAAAACCACTTAATTTAAGAGAAAAGAAGAAATAGAATGACAAAATGCAGTAAATGAAAGTAAAAAATAAGTCATCGGGTAAATAAAGTACAATACTACTGTAAATTTCAAGTTTAACCCAGTTCGTATTGGCGGGCATTCGTAAGTCGGGGTTCTCTGTACAGTATATGGCCTATATCATAAGCTCAGCTTCATTATTTTGATAACTTCAGTATAATTATAATCTTTAAAAATTCTAACCTAATCTAATTTAGGTTAGGTTAGGATTGTTCGAGAAATATGAAAAAAAGAAGCCATTTTTAATATTTGCACTAATTTCTATGGCCATATAACAAGAACAAAAGGCTATTCTGATTACACATGATTGTCTGCTGTGTTGTAAGGATAGTGTGTGTATCTTTAAAATAATAACACAAATATACACATGCTTTTGCCAAATAGGGATAACTTTTTATTTTAATTACTCTAACTTAATGGAAATTAATTCATATATAGAGAAATTCAATGCCAAAGCCTAGTAATAATCTGAGTATGTGTAGCTACCATCTTCAAGTCTCAGATCTGAAAAGCTCTTATGTGTCTTTAATTTCAATTTTGAAAAGATTTGAATTGGCCTTAATTGTAATCCACATCTGAAACTCTTTTTCTGTTCTTCTACACTCGGATTTGTCTTGGTACCTGTACCAAGCATACAACTTTATGCCTTGCTTGTCATTTGTAGCATCCCATTTCTTGAAACTCTGAGATTTCATCTAAATTTTTTAATTTGCCGCATGTTTGAGTAATATTCATACATAGCAAATAAATCCATATAAAAATGTCAAGAATACCCAGTTCTGCCTTGCTTTAATGCCAAATTTAATGTATGTATAGATATAATTGCTTGAAAACATTAACTTTCAAGATGTGAGTGGAAAAATTAATGAAATAAAGAATATTTACCATCAAAGTCACAAACAAATTAAGATTTTTGGAGAACACATTCATCCCTTCTCTTTTCACTAAGTATTATGCATATCAAGACAATGACAACAAATATTTAAAGTAATGGACAATAAGGATCCTTTCTAAAGAGGAGGATAAAGTGTAAACACCACATATTTGCATAAAGGTGAAGCTTAAAACAAACATTATGAGAAGGCAGTGTGCTTAGCGGAAGAGCCGCTCAGCTGAACTGATTGATCTTTTATAGTACTGTACTGTACTGTATTTACCACAAAAATAACCACTTTCGTTTAGATCACCCCTGTGCTCTCCTCACCCGAATTGACTAATGCCATGAGGTTGGGATGGATGTGTTGCGAGTGTGGCAAAATACAGTATGCCTAGTTGCAACATTGAGTCATGATTTCTACTCCTTGGCTTATATCTTCACTGTTCCCCTCACATAATATGATAATTTTTATCATTTATGTATAATTTATAAAACAGTGATAAGTGTATCAGTTACAAGTTTATTGCTTCACACTAACATTTTTTACATTATGAAGTGGCAAAAACATGTCAAACCCAAACCCAAAGGCATTTTACCGCTATGCAAAGTCGAAATTATAAAAGCGAGTAGGAGTATCAGACCTGAGGCTTGAAGATGGTAGTTACGCAGATTATGACCAGGATAAAGCTGAGGCATTGAACAGTTTCTTTTCCTCGGTGTTCACAAGAGAGGATGCGATTAACCTTCCTGCGTTTGAGGACAGACAGTTCGACACAGCACTGACCCACATTGTGTTCACAGAAGAGGGTATTAGAAATAAACTGTCAAAGCTAAAGGTCCATAAGAGTCCCGGCTCTGACATGGCGCATCCTAGAGTGCTAAGAGTGTTGTGCAATGAGCTTGCCGAGCCCCTGAAGATCCTGTTTTGTAAATGCCTGGATGAACAAAAGGTCCCCAGTGATTGGAAAGTGGCTTATGCGAGTCCTATCTTCAAGAAGGGCGATCGTCACTCCACGAACAACTACAGACCGGTGAGCCTGACCAACATAATGTGTAAAGTACTTGAGAGTATTATCAGAGATGCTGCGATGGAACATCTACTGCGAAACAACCTTGTAAAGGATTGCCAACAGGGTGGTAATATCGACAATATATATACCTAGATTTTGCCAAGGCTTTTGACAGTGTACCCCACGAAAGGCTGAAAATCAAACTGGAAGGGTACGGAATTCGAGGAAATGTCCAAGCGTGGATAGAAGACTTTCTACATGACTGCAATCAGTGTGTGGTGATTAATGGCACGAAATTATCATCCGTACCTGTCACAAGCGGGGTACCACAGGACAGTGTATTGGGCCTGCTGTTGTTTGTTTGTTTCATAAATGCCATTCCTGATGTTGTACACTCCTCCATACAAATGCTTGCCGATGACGCCAAGTTATTTCGGGAAATCAAGAACCATGCAGAGTATGAAGAGCTGCAGAAGGATCTCTGTGAGCTCTAAGATTGGTTGAAGAAATGGCTGCTGAGATTCAATGTCCCGAAGTGTAAGAGGATGCACCTGGGGCGTACCAACGGTAAGGAGGCATATCATATGTCCCAACGGGATGAAGAAACTGCACCATTTGAGACAATGTGAGAAGGACCTAGGTGTGTATGTTGACAATGAGCTGAAGTTCTCGGGCCAATGCGAGAAGAAGGTAAACCAGGCAAATAAATTATTGGGCCTCATAAGAAGGTCGTTAAGATATCTAGACATTCCGTCCCTCGTAACGATTTTCAAGAGTGAAGTGCTTCCCCATCTGGAGTACTGTCACCCCGTCTGGTCCCCGAGGTATGCTAGGGACTGTCAGTTGGTTGAAAATGTTCAAAGGAGGGCCACCAGACTGGTGCCTGCACTTCGGCTCCTCAACTACCATGAGAGAATGGAGCGCCTGAACTTGCCTAGCTTATACAGGTTATACCTCTCTAGTCTGGCAACCTCGGGACCTGACTGGTGCCGGACCATGGAAATTCACCCTTTTCCTGCATAGATAGTGACATGTGCTTATGCTTGGAAGCACTAGTACCGCTTTCTCTGCATCATGGTCTCTTTGAAGACATATTAAAGGGTTAAATGTCGTATAGTAGCTTCTCAAATTTCGCGAGTTTTTAATTCTTAACGTATTTTATTGGAACACACAAAAAAATAAATAAATAAAAATTTTGACGACGGAAACTTCAATTTCGACGGGTTTGAACGGCCCGCCAACGTGCAGACGACGAGCATAATCGTGTAAACAGCGTCATTCCTCTTATGTACAAAAGATTCATTATTGTTCATTACTGAATGTCTTTTTTATTGAATTAATGTTTATGTGTGCAAAATGAGCAATACAATTCATTAATAATATGTAGAATATTAAAACACATGAGGAAATGACACAGCATTGTTTTCGTTGATTACAAAACCAGTGACTGACTGGTTCTACATATAAAACTGAAGAAAATAAGACTTTGGTTGTACCTGTAGTAAAATTAATATGGTTGTTTTAAGTAATGTTATTTAATGTTAATAAATGGAACAATAGAAGTAGCTAACGATAATGGTAAAGAAAAGAGAGAGATCGCGTATGTAAGTGCGCATGCGCACACGTGAAAACATATCGTCATTACTTTACATAATAATATGAAAGCAACACTTATTTACTGTTCATATATATTTTAATGTTTCTGAATTTGCTTTTATTGAATTAATGTTTGTGTGTGCAAAATTAACAATTCAATTTGTTAATAATACGTGGAATATTAGAGGAGACGAGACGGCTGCCGGCATTGTTTATGTTAAAGCTTACAAAACCAGTGACTGATTGGTTCTACATATAAAACTGAAGAAAATAAGACCCTGAGTTTATCTGTAGTAAAATGAATGTAAAAAAATGAATATGGTTGTTTGAAGTACCTGTAATGTTATTTAATGTTAATCTATGGAACAATATAAGTAGCTCACCATTAATGGTAAAAAAAAAAGTGAGACTGCGCGTATGTAAGTGCGCACATGTGAAAACATATCTCATTACTCTACATAAGAATATGAAAGCAACATTTATTTACTGCTCATATGTTGTCCTCTGTATAGACAAGCAGAGAGAGAGAGAGAGAGAGCAGCCGAACTGCCGGATGTAAACAAACCTTAATTTCCACCGGCTTTGTTTTTTTTTTAAGGGGATTAGCCCACCTGTGCATAAATCACTGACCCACATTGGGGCCTGAGGGGCAAAAATTTAATACTCCTGTAATAATAATAATAATTCAGATAAAAAAAAAAAGAAAAAAAAAGAAAGCTGCCTATCTACCTATTGGACAAACTAAAATCGTTCCGGACCACGGGAGTTTCTGGACCACAGAATGCCGGACTAGAGAGGTACAACCTGTACTACAGACGGGTAAGGGGTGACCTAATTGAGGTGTAGTATAAGCATCTCAAGGGGTACTACTCAGTCGAGTGTTCTTACTTGGAGCTGGCAGACGCTCGCCTAACAAGGGGTCACAGCTCAAGACTGAAGAAGCCGCAAGTCCAGAAAACTGTGAGGGCAAACTTTTTCGGAGTGAGAGTTGTGAACTCTTGGAACATTCTACCAGATCACACTCACCGCTGCAATACCTAGCATCTGTGTGCACTTTTTCAAGTAACACTGTGTTCTTGCATACGTGAGAAAGTCTCTGGGCATATTTGTTAGCCTGTGATGTGGGCAGCAAACTTGGGAAATGTTGAGGAGGGACTGGATGGATGTGTATGGGTGTAGTGGTGGTTGGGTTAGTAAACAAAGCATTTTGGAGGGACAGAGGTTGCTGATACAGGCTAATGTGTCTTGAGAGGTTACCATGTGCCATATTTTAAATATATTAATCCTTCTGGACCATTTCAGATGCTGTGGGAAATTTAAAAAGTCAAATTCATTGATCTACGTAATGGACTGCTCAGAGATGGTCACTCACGTACATGGATCTAGGAATATGACAAGTAAAGGGTTAACTAAAAAACTTTTGTTTCACAACACCTGAGCAGACTCATACATATATTACAGGTAGATGAACATATACTGTAGAAGGAATAGTAGTCTTCATAATATAATGATGACTAAGTCTACCATACAGTAATTCTATATGTTGAAATGGTTCTACATGCAATGTCTTTTATTTCACACATTATCTTTCTCGGTTCACACATTACCTCTCTGAGTTCTTTCCTCTTTTCCTCTAGCTTTTCATTCTGGAGGGCCAGTTCATGGTTGGCAGCCTCCAAAGCTTGTTTCTTGGGGGCGACAATCTTTATGACTTGATCATAGACAACCATGGCCCTCACCCATCGGCAGAGGCCCTCACAAGCCATTGATACCATACGTATCTTCTTTGGGTCAAAATCCGGGTGAGAGTAGAACCTGGCAGGAAGTAGAAAGTCCCTAAGTCATCCACTTCAGTACTCACACAGTTTTATGTGTCACTCAAGTCTTCTTTAAAGATAAAAGAGGGATTTTATTTTTTGTGATTTCTTGTGAAACAATAGTATGTATTTACCTGAGCATAAGATACATATGCATGAATAAGTAAATTAATGGATAAGTACATTTTAAAATGTCTCAACATTTATTTCCTTTACTTTTTGTGAGTTTATAATAGGTTTCAGGGTTAAAGTGGAAGAACACTCATTTCTAAATGTGACAGTAGGTAGTGTGACTTACACAGTTATTACTGTGTGTGTCATTCTCAAGGCGTCCATATTCAACAGCACTGTTCCAGCAACCAAGATTTTCAACTGTTATTTTACATTTTCATGGGGTTAAGGAAAATATACTGGTATAGCAAGAAAATATTCCAAGATGTAATCCGTCCTGAATAACCATGCACACTCTTGAGTGCAAGCATCAGGTAGCTACATGTTAGTACAGTACTGAGACAGTAGTAATGATGATAATTTTTTACAGCATTTTATTTGTTCAATAGTATGAGTTTATTCATATCGGTCTGTCTGTCTCGACACCACTCTGATAGCCTCTGTCTTGGTCATACTTAATGGCAAAGATGAATTATCTAATGAATACCATATCACGGAAATAATGTTTGAACTTACTTGTTGCGGACGTGAGTGATAATCTTTGTGGGAATGTTTTCTTTGTCATAGTGCAGCAGGTTCTGGAGGAACTTCATATCCCCCAACAGCTTCTGAGATGGTGCCCAATAGTCCTCAATCATTTTTCCTGAGCCATTAGGGTCTGGCTTCCTCTCTGGCTTGAGGTCCAGCATTACACACACAGCTTCCATTACCTGACATAAAGCATAATATTGAACTGTATAGTGCAGCATTGTTATTTTGGGTATTTTTACAGCTCTAGTAAAACATGAACACAAACATTGCATTAGAGAACTGGGTGATGAGAAACTTTACTGACCTGGGTGATGAAAAACATGAGTTGGATGATGAGAAACACTGCATTACTGAGCTGGGTTAAGTTGTGTTAGGTCAGGTCATCTTAAGTTAGACTATGCTATCTTAAGTTACGTTATGCTAGGTTTGGTTAAAGTTATGTTAGGTTAGGTTAGGATAAAAATTACACAGAAGTCTATGACGATGACACATGGCTTCACTCTGCCTTGTTGATGGTATTTCTCATCACCCACTAGAACTAATGTAGTGTTTCTCATCACCCACTAGAACTATGTTTCTCATCACCCACTAGAACTAATGTAGTGTTTCTCATCACCCACTAGAACTATGTTTCTCATCACCCACTAGAACTAATGTAGTGTTTCTCATCACCCACTAGAACTAATGTAGTGTTTCTCATCACCCACTAGAACTATGTTTCTCATCACCCACTAGAATTGAAGTAGTGTTTCTTATCACCCACTAGAAATATGTTTCTCATCACACACTAGAATTGATGTTATGTTTCTCATAACCCACTAGAATTGAGGCGCTCAGCATTAGAGGGGGGTGAAGTGACACTCTGGCCAAAATGCGTTTTTTGATGGATATCACTATTTTCACCCGTTGGATGTAACGCTCTAGCTAGAATAGAAATATGGTAGAAAGTCCTTCAAAATTAGGGGTGATTTTGCCTCAGGCCTGGAGCTACGTATCTGGCTGTGCGCTCAGTCAAAGAAGGTGGCAACTTCCAGTTCAGAGCGAGAGGAGCGCGAGCCAATGACAGCGCGCCTCCCTCGGACCATACCCCTGAGGTAGCCAATCACAATGGATTTCCCCTTGCTATGTCACAGCTCCTCGGCCAATCCGCGCGCCCAGATGCTGCCTCCTTGTTAGTTTTGGTGCATTGTATAGCATAAGGAGGTTCAGTGTACTTTCTATGGCTATTTTTGATAACTTTTCGGCGTAACAATGATGTTATTCATCCACGGGTGTGTAAAATGCTGTGCAACATCTGCCCGATATTGGAGCAAGAGTTGAGTGAGGCCAGGCCTTCTGGTATAGGTTCAGGAGCACATTATTCCTGAACGTGTGTTTAGTGATGACAGTGCTCACGTGGACATCCTAGGAATGCTTGGTGATAGTGATAGTGATTTTGGTATACTCATCATACAAAAAGTGACTGCTATGCATCACAAGACCTTTTTGTAGACTATGTTCCGGTACAGAGTTACGTGACATGCACTGACAGCAATAATGATGATGAAAGTGAAGATGAAAATGATGAAAGTGAGTCTAATGGTAACAGAGTGACACTAATGTATCACAACAAGAACATACAGACTGTGAGGAGGTAGAAATGGACAGTGACGAGGCATGCATTGACCTTGATAGTGATGAAAGTGTGCCTGAACCAACGAATGCTAATGAAAGTGAGCCCATAACTCAATCTTATTATGAAACTGAACTGTTGCTGGCATCAAAAATCAATGATTTAGTTCATGAAGAATCTGTGTGGCGATTTTTAGAGAGGGCAGAAAAAGACTTTGATCAGTACATGATTGATTATGAAGAGGCCATTTAAGTTAAACGCACTCCTCAGGATTTACGTAACTTCAAGTTACTACGATATTCAGGGATAATAAAACGAAGGAACTAAACAAAGTAAGATTGTAATACTATTATCAGAATACTCTCTTAACCAAAGAATATGCAAACTTTCTAAGCCTTTGTATTCGTCTGTTAATTACGTTGGGGGGGGGTTCATGGTAGGGGGTGGGATGAGTGTAGTGGTGTTTCCTCATTATTACACACTATTAAACTTAACAATATTATAAATCTTTGGCTAATAATAGGGACGGAAAGATAAATACTAATAGGCAAATGAGTTTTTATTATTATTTTTGGGGGGGGGGGGTGGTAAAACGAGTGCTGTTTTTGGTTATCATTAACTTGTTTTACAGTATTAACCCACAAATATTAATAAAAAAAAATTGCAGAAAAATGCGATTATTGTTGGTTTGAAGATCAAACAACTCTACATCACGGGTTATTTTCATTCAACTCGCAATAAATTAATAACTATTCACTGTACTAATTTCCAGTTGTCACAGTTCGCTAGGAGAGGGATTAAGCTGCACGATAAAAAAAAAGAACCCTCTAGCTTAAAAAAAAAGTTATGGTTGTTTGAACCTTGAAAACTTTCAACGTGTTTTTCTCAGCTTTTTGAATTTGGAGCTTCACCCCCTTCTAATGCAGAGTGCCTCAACTGATGTAGTATTTCTCAAAAAGTTTCACTAATGATTAGAAATACAAAAAACAACACAGGGACAAAACTTTTCATATATCTTTAGGAGGGTGTGAGGATCACAGGGTGTGTTAGGAGCACAAAGTGACTTAAGGTCAACAGCTAGAGGATATTAAGGCAAAGTGAAGGTTTGGGGACAGTAGAGTCAGAGTGGAAGATTAGGTAAAACAACAGTGGAGACTTAGGTAGAGTCAGAGTGGAGGTTAAGGTGAGCACTCTTCATAACCAATGTCATCATTTGGTAGGTTATACTCACCAGCTTGACTCCTGAGGGCGGGTTCTTCATGGCCTTGACGACGCGTATGTCATCTTGTTTGAGGGTGTTGAGGGCGTCTGTGGCAGCATTGAGAGCTGATACTGCCTTGGCGAGCTCCTTTTCACAGTCGTCTTTTATGGCCTGTGCATCGGCAAACTTCTTGTTGGCCACCGCCTCGTCTGCCGCCACCAACTGAGAACAAATTTGTTATCAACAACCAAGAAATGAGATATGTTATCACTTTCATCTTTTTTTTTTACCAAGAGAGGCAGGGTTAACATTAGAAGGGAACATAAAACACGAACACAAAAACAGCAATAACTAGCAAGGTGTTCATGATAGTAACAAGAACCTTGCCAATGACAATATTTTACATCAAGATCACAAAACACTGACTGAATTGTGACTACAACATTGGTTTCATTGTGGTATCTTCAACAACCTTCCATGTTTCACTTATGTTTGTTTTTCTGGGTTTGGGGAATTATACTTGTGTTTGTATCTATGAACAAAATATATAAAAGAATGGGAAGGGTAGCTTCGATGAAACCTGGCAGGCTAAAAGGTTATTTACCTCAGAGAAAATAAATAAATTTGGGCAAGTAAAGCTAAAGAATAGACTGGTGAACTCTAGTGAAACAGTCTTTTTTTTTATCCTCTTCACCACTGATTGGCTCGTTAGGTGCTTGGGCGATCGGTCACGTCTCTGTTACTTTTCCTTTTCTTTTATCCTCTTCACCAAATGATCGTCAAGGGTTGAGTGTAGGCAAAGGAAGAGGTAATTGAAAGCTAGGGTAAATATATTCAAAGTCATGGTCACAGTCACATTCCACTGTATGTGTCTGTTGTCTACACAACTCTTTATTAGAGTTAATGAAACTTGGGACTATAGGTTGCTGTTGATTAAGAGAAATCTAGTCTAATTTTGGAGAAAGCAGGTCAAGGTCACACTTACAGTTCACAGTCAAAGACAATATATTTCACATCTGTTAAATTTGCTAGGTAGATTGAATGATCAATAACCACATAAATTTTTTATGTATGCATGAAATATAAAGGGCTCTTTGAACTTGATTTCTTATATATTTTCTCTTAATTTAAAGAAGTTAGTTGTCTAAACCAACCAATCTATCTAATTTCATTAAAAACAATTAACTCGCTTCGACATATTTTCTACACAACCAAACTCACACATGTAGTGTAGTTATGGCACCTGGGTGGGGGGTTGAGTATTATCTGTAGTACATTTCTGCACTTCAACATACACACTGTACCATCTATTACAGAGTTAGAGATACATCTTTTTGTTATAGAATTATTAATAGTATTAACAGGTAAGTTTGACAAGTGAAAGATAACAGCTTCACACCTCTTGTTTCCTCTCCACTTGGATGGTGTCTTGTTCGATCTTGATCATAAGTGCCTCCGTGTTGGCAGAGGTCTCCACTAGGCGGGGCTGCAGCAGCTTTAGCTCTTCTTGCAGTTCAGTGATCAACAGCTTGGCCTCTTTCAGTTTCTCCAGACCTGTCACATACCTTCAGAGATGAAATGGTTAATGTTTTTGGCACTAAGAATGCATATTCATACATTTAAAATAACTTGGGCACAATATTATTGATTTTCACAAGTAAAATAAAAACAAAATCGAAGTTGGGTCGGGTAATTCTCATAGACTAAAATTCATCAATAGATGTACAGTATAACATTACTAAAGCTGGTGATGAGCTTCCTGAGCTTTACCTGTCCCGTAGTGTGAGGATCTCTGAGCGCTTCTTAAGGAGGAGCTGCTTGAAGGTGAACACGAGCTCCAGGTAGGAGGTGGGTGTCACAATGTCACATAGTACCTCCGCCGCAGCTGCTCATAGAACCTGTAGGAGCACTCATCAAGGTCTCATGTATGTCTGGTTAATTAAGGTATTGGAGGGCTACCAACGTCTCATGTACAGTATGTCTTATGGTTTTAATGAGGTCTTGGAAGCCCACCAGGTTCTCATGGGTTAATTAATGTCTTGAACCCCTGGGCTTCAAGTCAAGTCATATGGTGTGCATCTATAGAGCTTCAGGTCACCTCATATGAAATTTTGACATTTAGTGGGCCTATTTGAATATAAAATGCACTAAACTAACTCAGAATAATGGGATAAACTCTCCTGTCTCATGTGGTGACATGCGAACTTCACATGCTACCACCTACAATGCCTTAGTACCAATCGCGTCTCAAGATGCAGAGGTCACGTCGATCACACTTGCCCAAGCCCAGCACCTCCATTCCCAGCTCCCAAGCATGCCAGATAAGTGGTCCTATGCCTGTGCAGTACTATTATTTTCTACATGATCATCATTGGCCAGTCAGAAGTTAAAACACAAACAATCAAACATGGATGTTTTATTGAAGAGAGTTTTCTGACTGTGGTAAACTGTATTTACATAATTAAAAACAAATTTCTAGTATAAAAAGACAGACATCAGTCTATAGATTGCTCAGGTTTGCCTACTTGAGAAACAACTGGATAAATGCTAAAATGAAATCCACACGAAGCAGTCTTTGACCCTTGGTAGTTAAACTGAAAATGATAACATAAGCAAGGTTTGGATGTCCTTGAAACTACCTGTGGGCAAGGTCATCAATGCTGTGGTGGAAATACTTGCAGACAGTGACACAGTGAGCCAACAATGATGCCTCCAGTTTAGTTTCCTGCAGCAGTGATGTGGCCACCATCTCCAAGGCATCATCAGGCCATGCAGTAAACCTGAACAAGAAAAGGTCATAATCTTGTGACTCTACAGAATTATACTGGCATTTGCCATTTAACAGAACTGCATTCTACAGAGTTTTGAAGTTATGGAACTCAAAAACAGAGGATATTAGTCACTAACGATCTACTGTCTTCCTAATAGAAAACGAGCTGTGGTTGCCATACTGACCAGAACGTATAAAAAATTGTCCCAAACACAATATCTGAGAGAGAAACAAAATAAAAGTCACCCGATTTCCTCACCGTGCTAAGATGTATAAATACCCTATATAAAATCCTCGTGGCACTTAGTATTTCAGCTATTACAACAAAAATTTTAGCGGTGCTTTCATTGTGCGTATTTACACCCGATTCGCCAGGCAAGACGATGACGGTAGCAATGCGTGTGATGGAGGGTGTGGGAGGGGGTTTTGAGAATTGCAATTAAATGCCAGGTAGCGACGTGTCCTCGAAACACATCGACCCCATGGTTAACAATACCTTTTTTTTTGGAGGACTGTACATTTCATTCTGCAACCTGGCATTTGTTTGTGTTTTTTGTGTATGTTTTTTGTATATGTGTTTCCATTGTTTTCCTAAGCTTGGCCAGAGGACATTAAGTGCTAGAGGCAGCAGTGGCATTAAGAGAAACAGGAAGGCAATTAATCTGATGTGAAATTACATGACAAGCATTATGTTTCTTGCTGGTAACTGTACTACAGTATTATTTCTATTTATGATTTTATTTGAGTAGCAGGTATTTATTATACTATTTTAGTGCGTATTTACTTGATACATATAGTAGTACTGTATTATATTTTGGGGGGCAAAAATTTTCCCTTTAAGAAGGCAAAATTTTCTTTGGAAACACATTGCCAATTATTATTACAGTATTGTTATTAATGAAATTATTATCATTATTATTATTAGCATTATTATGACAGTATTACTGTACATTATCATTATAATTCTTACTAATCTTATTGTTACTGTATTACTATTATTATAAAGCCCTGCATAAAAAGGATTAGCACTATAGATAATATCAATGAGCTCTCACATAGCACTGAAAGTAAAAACCTGTAAAAAAAATTTTTATTAACTTTCTAAAATCCTATAAGAAGAAACCATTATTGTACCACAACAATATTATACACTACACTACCACAACATTACACACTACGCTACCAGGGACACCTGACAATACACAAGTGAGGGACACCTGGCAACACACTAGTGAGAGGACATCTTCTAACACATGAAGCAGTAGACCCACCAGGACCTACCAGTCTATAGTGCAGCAGTTAATGAGGGAGGGGAACATCCTGAGCCTGGTCCTGAAGGTGTCGCCTATGGGGGACATGGCCACTACCAAGTGCAGGTTGGCCCTCACTCACTCGTTGAAGTAGCCAAACAGTGTCATAGGTGAGGAGTCCATCTTCTTACCCTTATTGGGATATTAATCTGAGGTTACAATATGTATTATATTGGTTGAGGAGTGTGGTCCACATTATAAATATAAGATGACCCAATGAAACAATTATCAGATGAAAGTAGGATACTCTTTCTTGTTGGGATATAAAAATTTTGTATCAATTGAAGATAACTGAAGATTAGTTTTCCCAGCATATTTTACTACAGTAGGTTAGGTTAAGTTAGTGTTAGTGCTTAAACATCAGATGAAATAAGCTGAGATGCTTAATCTTCCTGTGGTCCCAAAATTTTCAATGTTTAGCTGGACCTAACTCTAATAAACAAGATAAATATAGTGAAAATACTGTACAGTACCGTACATCTATAAACTATATCTGAATTTCTAAGTTATGTATACGTAGCGCTCAAGAACAGTAAAGTGATTTATCTACATGAATGAGTAAATAGTGCATAACACTTTTTCAAAAAGTATACATATCCTAAATATACTACAACACAGCAACATGTACAGTATATGGTCAACAAGTGCATTACAGGAAACAAGTAATAACACAACTAAATTACTATTATGAGCAGCCCACCATGGTATCAATTCCACCTCTACGTATATTTGTGATCTTACTTCACGAGTTTAGTGATAAGGCTCTAGCACTCAAGTTGACGCGCACATGTTCCCTGACTCCATTAGTGAAGGAGCCATAATAACAGAATCTTGATCTTCCAAACCCAGCCAGGGCAAGGATTCTCAAAGCTTTAGGCTTTGTACATTAAATTGTTTCTCATAAATGGAGATAAAGCAAGGTTTCAAATAAGCAGACATAAGAAGGAGCATACAAATAATGTTCAAAATGGGTTCCAAATTATACTGAGTGTCTACCTACACTGGTACTTTATTTTATCACCAATTAGAGGTCAATGTTAAACATGAATTCTGACCCAGTATTGTCAACATATTGTAGTAAATGTTAACATGAATTCTGACCCAGTATTGTCAACATATTGTAGTAAATGTTAACATGAATTCTGACCCAGTATTGTCAACATATTGTAGTAAATGTTAACATGAATTCTGACCCAGTATTGTCAACATATTGTAGTAAATGTTAACATGAATTCTGACCCAGTATTGTCAACATATTGTAGTAAATGTTAACATGAATTCTGACCCAGTATTGTCAACATATTGTAGTAAATGTTAACATGAATTCTGACCCAGTATTGTCAACATATTGTAGTAAATGTTAACATGATTGTTCTATAAACTATAAACATTGGATGGTATGATCGAAGACTGAAAATAAGTTGTTTACAGAAAAAATAAACTTTGAAGCTTCAGTGAATAATGAGGTGCTGTTGTCTAGATGAGCATGTGTGGCAAGGGAGGCCCCCAGCCCTCGTGGGGGTACTGGCTGCTCTCTGCCATGATAACCTACAACTATGCATAAGCCATTATTGAACAAGTTCTTAAACATTAAGACACTGAACAATCTACAACTATGATCAAATAATCAGGAAAATTATTCATCCTCGCCTTAACCTTCAAGTAAGAGGTTGGTTATATTGTGGCAACTTCCTATTAATGGGTCATATTTCATAGTTTCACCATTGATACAAGTTAACAACAAATTAAGGCTTTTGTGCTTCTTTCCATGACTTATACTCACTATTGTTCTTGATACTTGAATGTGAGACTACAGCATATCAAGTGTAAAAATATTGAGTGACCATTAACGAATAAGTCCGAACTAAACTACTGGGTCAACAGTCTGATGGTCCAGGGTGGCGCCTAGTACACAGCGACACTGCTGTAAAGCTGAAAAGTGTAAGTAATGTGGGCAGATAATAAACCTTCATATGTGCCTAAGATAACACCAAAAAATTTTGAAATTGAACAATATGGTGCTGACAGGGTGATAAATTCCAGGACTCTTGTCTTGGGCATGAGTATGGACATGTATCACCTGTGTGGTGTGTGAGGAGCGTTCACTTTGCTGTCTGATGCAGCTGAGGTGACCCTCACGAGCACTGCTGATGCAAGTCTGCCATTACTTGCACCGACATTTACTGTGGTGGTGCAGCACTGTTGTGCACCTTTATCCCACTACTATGGCATTTTAGTAATTTTGGTAAGAAAGGTGTATTGCTGCCATGCTGCAACACACAAATGTCTTCATCTGGATAAGTTGGCTATTAATTGTTTGTTGGAATTATTTCATCAGTTTTAGCCCGTAAGAGGGATGTTACTGAGACAATGGCAAGACCTGTGGCAGATCAACACCAGGTCACCACAACATGCTCGCAACACTTCTCACAGTAAGGCACACCCAGGACCTTACTACTCCCTGTATTGAAGGGTTTATTGCCAACTCTTTTGTGTTGGTCAACAACAGTAATGGTTTGGCTTTCTCCAGACAATTTACAACATGCATGAAATTCACATTCTTACCACGTCAAGCCCCTGGAAAACAACATGGACTTGTTAGTCGTGTTTCCTGAAAGTCATTATCAAGGGTTCCAAATTATTTTGAGTAAGTAAAGAAGACATTTATAGTGAGTTTATGCATCTAAAAATCAATTTCATGCTAATTCTGAATCCCTTAACTTAAACGTGTAAAAATTTTTGGGTGGACCGGGGAAATATATATCTCCTCACCACCTACGTATTTAAAGTAAATTCAGTTAGCATGTCACTAATTTTAAGACCAATTGTAACGTCATGAACACCTTCCTTATTCACACTTCAACACAAAAGGTTCTAAAATCAGTATTGTGTCAGTCTGAACCCCTGATATGACTCCTGAAGGTGCTGTGAATTGGCCATGACTAACACAGGACCAAAACACTATAGTTCTCTTTTGTCCTCACTACCAGGTCTTAGGTCATATATCTCAGGTGTCAGGCAGGCTTTATTACATACCATCTCACAAAATGATTTCTTTGCTACAACCACTACAGTGTATTTATTTGATAATCAGTTTTTGTAAAAAAGAAGAAGAAAGAATGCACATTACTCCTGAAATAATATCATACAAAAATCAAGTTGACTATAAAAGTACCTACACAAACTAAGAATATTTACTTCCATAGTATTACTATAAAAAATAAAGTCTGTTAATTCCAAATCATTTCATGCAAAAATTGTCTCCACTATTTCCAAAGTTTAAGTTAACAATTGGATAGCCAAAAATTTATTATCAGCTATTTAGGTCTACTGGACACTGTACATCCTACCTCTGGGTGGAGGAAGGGTGCTGGGGAAGGGCTAAGTTGGAGCAAAAAGTTCTCTCAGTCAGTCAGTCGATGTCACTCAGGAAAAGGGTTCATTGATTTGCTAAATACAGTTATGCACAGATTTAACAGATCACCTGAAGATTGCCTCCCCCAACTTGTTCCACTTGAAGATTAACCATTCTAATACAATACACGACAAACCTAACACTAACCAAACCTAACCGACCACCCTAATGCAAACCTAACCTAACCTAACCCTCCCCCCCCCTTCTGATGGGGTTATTACTGATAATCTTTAGGTGAAATAAGCCTGGGGCAGGTGAATTTTCAGGAGATCCAATTTATCCTAATAGTTGTTGGCAAAGTAAGTAAGTACAAAACAGGCATCCCCTGCCTTATAGAAACTCACCTTATGGAAATTCGCGCTTACGGAATTTGGTAATTACTGTATGACCAAAAATTCGGGATATGGCTAAAAAAACTTCACCCTTACGGAATTTGGGTAAAAAAAAAAAAAAAGCAAGCCAAGTTCAGCAGTAAAAATATTTGACATTATTAGAGCTCAAGTCGTAAGAAAGATAAGGGATGACTAAAATTTATATACAGTTAACCCTCACTTTAAGCAGTCCCGCATTCCGCGTTTCCACGTTAACGCGGTGCCTTGCCAGAACCTCACGTGCTCAAATTACGCGGTACGTGAACCCCATTACGCGGAGAGTGTCCGGCGCGACGCTATTTTTAGATTCACCCCACCCGCCCGCCTGCCTGCCTGTGCTCCTCGCCTCCTCCCTCCGCTTGGGCAAGCGGCGCGGTAAGGTTGCGCAGTGTGTGTCTTTGTTGCGTTATCACTGACGTCATAT